GCGAAATTGCTTCCGGCGGCTTCGCCCGCGGCTTCCCAGCTGGAGCCCTGGATCTCCCAAGTGGTGAGTGGCGATTCCCCCTCCGGGAATGCTCCGCTCTGCCCCAGGTTCAGGGGCACTTGATGCCAGGGCATGTGCCCTGAGTCCGGTGGGGAGCCAGTGCTGGGATCCCTGAGCCAACAGGCTGCTGGAAGAAGCCACGAAGGAGGCTGCTGGAAGAAGCCACGAAACGTGGACTGGAGCTGCTGGTGTGGGAGCAGGAGACCACTCACCTCCACCTTGCGGGCCAGGGGAAACCACTGCAGTGTAGGGAGTAGCCAGGCGTCTGCATGATCCTGTTGGCTGCTGCCAAATCGTGGCACGTTTGCATGGATCAGAGAGGTGGACCCGTGGCTGGTTAACCCTTTCACTGCATGTGCCTCAGCTGAGGCTGGTAGCAGATCCAAGCCTCATCCCCCCCACCCCCACGAGGAGCCATCCCGTCATCCCCCAACATGGGAGATCCATCCTTTCCCAGGCTGTTCTGCCCTGCCAGCTGGCTGGGACCAGATCAGGGGCCTGGGGCTCGGTCACTTTACCCAGAGATCAGCTGGATCCCACTAGAACGGCAGTGTCACTCTGGATGGCTACGTCTACACTGGCATGATTTTCCAGAAATGCTTTTAACGGAAAAGTTTTCCGTTAAAAGCATTTTCGGAAAAGCGCGTCTAGATTGGCAGGATGCTTTTCCGCAAAAGCACTCTTTGCGGAAAAGCGTCCGTCGCCAATCTAGACGCGCTTTTCTGCAAAAAAGCCCCGATCGCCATTTTCCCAATCGGGGCTTTTTTGCGGAAAACAAATCTCTGCTGTCTACACTGGCCCTTTTGCGCAAAAGTTTTTCGGAAAAAGACTTTTGCCCGAACGAGAGCAGCATAGTATTTCCGCAAAAGCACGGACAATCTTACATGAGATCATCAGTGCTTTTGCGGAAATTCAAGCGGCCAGTGTAGACAGCTGGCAAGTGGTTCCGCAAAAGCAGAAGATTTTGCGGAAAAACTGGCCAGTCTAGACACAGCCGATTTGTGGCGGTGTGGCCCTGCGGCAGAGAGATGGAGGTTTCAAACAGCCCCGGAAAGGTGGCCCACCCAGTGCTCAGCTAAAGGCAGGCAGAGCTGGATTCAGACGGATGAGCTGTAATCTTCACGCTGGCCTGTCTGGGGCCCTGGGCCTTGCTGACCCCGCCCTGCAGACAAACTGGCTGTGCTCTTAGCACTGCAGACTCTCATTAGACCCACGGGCTAACGCTGGCACGCTGAGCTCGGCTGGTGGATCTCATTCAGGGGCAAGAACGGAGGGGGGGAGGGGGGGGTTCAGGCTGACGTGCACCCCTGTATTCTTGGCCAGGCTCGAACAGCGGTTTGCAAAGTGTGGTCTGTGGACGTCTTGGGCCGTGGGCTCGGGGCTCCTTCTCCCCTGCCGTGGGG